ATTTGATGAATGAATGAACAAAGAAATTAACAAATAACGGAGAAGGAGACAATGAGTTGTTTCTATGGTAGGAGTGGAATTAGTATTTGTACTTCAATGTTAGGCCCAATATTTAACGTGGATAAATGGAACCACAACAGAAGAATGAATGACTATGAGGATCAGAGAAGCAGAGCTCATAACTATACCTGAAAACTCAACAATTACTCTTTTTCTGCATTCAAGCACAGCCTTGCTTCTTTCAAGTCACCTACACAGTTGTCATCTCCTGCACTACTTCTTTTCCTCTTAGACCTCCCACATAGCAAAGACCTGATTGTTCCAAAGTGCTCTGTTCTGCTTGCTTAGCTTTGACCATTTTCCCACTCAGCAGCAGCCTAGCCATTATACCCCTTCTTAAAATAATAGCGGGAACTCTTTCCAGCCATACAGCATAGCTTAGCAGAGATTAGTAAATCCTTCCCTACTCATTTTCTGACTGTCAAGATGTTTTGAAAGTAAAGCCAGTCCCTGAGTTATGAGTTTCCAATTTATGTACAACCTGTACAAACTAACGCCAGTAAAGCCTATTATATATTGAAATAGGAGGTATTACATTGTGGCATAATGCACTGGTCCGCAAAGTCAGTTTGAACCATAGGATTGGCAGTTCAAACTCACTAGCTGCTCCTCAGAAACCCTATACCAGGTCACTGTGAGTCAGAATCAACTAGACAGAACTTAACAACAACAATAATAGACATGTATTACTTTACAATTGGAGTCCTGGAGTGGCATTGTGGGATAAAGCACTGGACTGCGAGATCAGTTTGAACCACGAGGTCAGCAATTCAAACTCACCAGCCACCCCTTGGAAACCCTATATAGGGTTGCTATGAGTCATAAACAGCTCCACGGCATTAACAAACACTTTGCAATTGGTGTCCTGGTATGGCACTGCCATATAAGCTTTGGACTTCAAACAAAGTTGGAGGTTTCAAGCCCACCAGCTGCTCCGTGGAAAGCCTATACAGGGTCACTATGAGTCGGAATCAACTCCAATGCATTATCATTCCTACATTATTTTGTTAAAGATACTTTTTTTGTATCTGGAAAATGTTTCTTTAATTTTTCTATGCATATAAATGTATGCTATGTACTAAGACAGACTCCTGGTGTGACACTGTAGGATCAGCACTGGACTGCGAACCACAAGGTTGGCAGTTCAGACCCACCAGTCGCTCCTCAGAAACCCTATACAGGTTTGCTATGAGTTGGCATCAACTCACCGCACTTGACAACAACAACAACAACATGCACTAAGACAAGCATTTGACTAGCTGACCTTAAATTCAAACCATACCTTAACTACTCCTACTTAGTATAAATTTGACTTAAAGACAGATTTAGGAATAGAACTTGTTTGCAATCCAGGGACTGCCTGTACTTGAAAAAAAAAAAAACAAAAAACAAAGACTGCTTATAAAGAAGATTTGGTAGTTTAGTGGTTATGTATTAGGTTGCTAACCTGGAGGTCAGCAGTTCGAAACTACCTGCTGTTCCATGGGAGAAAGAGGAGGCTTTCTGCTGCTGTAAAGATTTACAGCCTCGGAAACCCTGTGCAGGGTCACTATGAGTTGGAACTGACTCCACGGCACATGACCACCACCACCACCTCCACCCAGACTGCTTATCCACCAGATCTGCATCTTATAATTATCTTAGAACTCTAATCCTAAATAGTAAACTGCAATGCAGCCTACAGGAGAATGAAGCCAAGATGCTTCAGAAATCAGATAGTCCCCAGAACTGTGCTGCCTGAATATGATTTTGTACCTCAGTTCTTAAGACTGGAGTCCAGAAAGAAAGAAGTAAGAAGGACAAGATGAAGACTAACTCACATTGTCACTTGACACTTTTTGAAATACAGCTTCACTCTTTCTTTCTTTGCAACAGTAATCTCTATTAAGGATTCCCATCTGGCAATTCTAAGAGTATAGGATTTCAAATGTCATCATCCATCTGAATCTCTAGTAAGAGGCACTGCAGAGCAAGATGGAAAAGAAAGGTGGGACCAGGATACTGAGATCCACTTAAATGAGCTCTTTTGAAGATTGCTAAAATCTCAGTTTGCAGCAACATCTATTCTACTTACTGACTGACAACTTTATGCTGCTGGCTTAAGATAGTGTTTCTCAAAATATTGTCCTGTGCAGGACTACTTGTGCCAAAATCTTCTAGCATGTTCATTTTAAAGTGCACATTTCTGAACCCAAAACAATAAAGTAAAATTTATGAAGATGAAACCTTTAACTTACCCTAACAAAACCACTCAACTAATTCATTTGAATGCTGAAGTCTATATTTCTGGCTTGGCACTTTGACTTTGCTAATTTTAAGGTTTAAATACCTCCAAGAACTAATAGCAATTTGCCATTGTTCTTAAGGGATCTGAGAGCATGTTTTGATAGTGGGAATAACTGAAAAGAACTAAATGACCCAAATATCCAATAAGGAGGAATGGGATACTACTAAGAGGAAGAAATAGAGGTAGAATGGCCAAAGAGCCAAAAAAGCGTCTCTACACAGTAATTTTGCCACCAAACAGTTCTGTTTTGTCAATTAAGTTCAATCCAAAAAATATATATTGAATCTCTCTCATATACCAGGCACTGGGAATGCGTAGTAATAGAACAGAGTACATAGTAATAGAACTGTCCTAAAGGAGTTTACAGTTAGGAGATAAAGCCAGCTCTTAAATGTGATATGGCCAAAAATAGGATGTGCACAAGAAACTTTGGGGGGCTGAAAAAATATGGACCCCTGAATTAGGCTTCAAGTGTCAAGAGAAAATAGGCAGGTAAGAATTAAGCAGGTGAGGAAGCTGATAGTGAGGAGAAACTCAAAGGAGGGACCAAGAACTGAAGGATAAAGGCAGCGTGTTTCCAAAGGGGGGCAGCCTGCACAAAGACCCAGACCACACCCATTATGGCTGAGTGGATTCTAATTCATAGTCAGCCTGTAGGACAGAGTACAACTACTCCTGGAAATCTTTTAGGGAGCACTGAGCCTCACCTATCTCCTGAGGAATGACTGCTAGGTTTGAATCACTAACCTTGTAGTTAGCAGTCTGTCCTTTAGCCCACTGTTAACAAGGCTCCTTCCTAGACCACAAGGCAGTGCTATACATCACATGATTAACTAGCAGTTCAGGGCTGCTTAATCATAAGCACAAGAATGGGGAATGGTAATCAATGATTGTGGATAGGTAGACATTAGTTAAGTCAGGAAGATATGGGTTTGTGTTGATCACTTTTTTTTTTTTTAATGTTTTATTGTGAATTATGTGATAGTTTACGTGGGAGAACATTAGTTTTGCATTCATCCTATAGTGTATCGTTTCATTGCTATGCTTACAATCCCCTCTATGCATCATCAACCAACCAAAGGGTATACACTACAAGCCTGCCCACCCCGCCTAGTCATCAGCACAGAGCCCCTCCCCCTCTCTGTGTCTAAAGTTCCCAGCTGCTCCATCTCTCCACATCATGCCTCCATCTCATGCATCACTGCTTCTCTGGGTAGGGTCCTGCTCTCCACCCGTCTCCCTTGATGGTCCCAGGGACCTCCGCTCCTAGGCTGAAGAGTTAATCACTCCCCTCCTTGCTACAAAACATCTACCTTTACATTTCCGACCCTCACAATCAGTCCTGATAACAATTATTCACTATTGTATCACAAGAGACCCATTCACATTTCATTTCATCAGCCCTGCCTAGACAGATTGTATACTACTTAGTGGATATTCTACCTTCCTCCATGCCCTCTGAATCTAGGTTCCCCCTTGAAAGCTTGTAAGCCAGTCACTTCTTGCCTTTGTAGCCCCCCCCCGCCATTTTGGGTAGCCAATGTCCAAGTTGCCCATCTCTATCTACTCTGTGTATGGAGAGGATGGGAATGATCCCCTCTGTAGGATTTGTTCCCTCTTTTGAGCTACTGCATCCATAGGTGTAGGTCAAGTTCATCAAATTGTATCAGATTACTCTTTTTTTCTCTTCTTTCTTCTTCTAGTTGAGCTGTGATCAGCCAGTCATTGAAGCCAGGTCAAGTGGGTATTATCTGCAAGTGTGGGTGTTCTTGTGTATGCCTTCTCATCTTATCAGCTGGACAGTTCACTCTCCACGCTAGTCCTCTGTGGCTATGTCACTGACTTTGGGCCCAAGAGTCCCCAGGTCTTGCTACACACTGCTAGCCAACCAGTTCTCCACCTGGGTTCACAGAATGTGTTGATCACTTTTTCAAAGTCCTGTTGTGTTGTTGTTAAGTGCCATTGAGTCAATTCTCATAGCAACCCTATATAGGGTTTCCAAGGAACTATTGGTGGGTTTTAACCCCTGACTTCAAAACTCAAACTGACCTGGCAGTCCAATGCATCATCATACAGTGCCGCATGAAGCATCTAAAATCTATCTGGATTTTATCCTCAGTACATAACCTTCAAATATTTTCCAAGTTTATGGTCTCAAACTGTTAGTTGTGGTTGCTCCAAAAACATAAACAGTTTGTAGGCCTTCTCTGGAACATTGTGCCTGAGTTGACCATAATATCAAGAGAAGTTCAAGCTAGATTTCAAAATGTTTTGACTATCATTGGAAGGACATGTGAAAAATAGGAACATTAGGGACCTCTGGAGAATGAGTCTGGGGAACAAGGTGGGAAGAATTACAACACACTGTCTACCCCTTTATACTATTTGAATTTTTTACCAGGTGTATTTATTGCTGATTCAAAATATAAAAAAAGAGCTAAAGATACACATTGGTTCCATAACTTAAAGAAGTTGCTTTTCAACATATGAGTTATCTGATTTATATTTTAAAGAATTAATGATGCATTGATACAACAACAGTAACAGCAGTAACATTAAAGTTGATTTTCCTTTAGCAGCCTAAGGGGGTGGGAAATGATTGGAGAGAGCTTTTGTATCTTCTCTATAAATCTGTCCCTTTATTTTTTCCCAGTTTGCAGGTCATCTTGTGAAGATGAAATATCCAAGAATCTGTATTCTAGATGGTGGCATTAATAAGATCAAGCCTACAGGTCTCCTCACCGTCCCATCTCCTCAAATATGAAAAGCCAAGTGTATGGCTGTCAAAAGCCTTGCCGCTTTGTCTTCACAGCCTTGCCGCTCAAAGACAGGACCAGACATCCAGATTGTTGCATTTCTGTAAAGCTTTCTTGTTAGGCTTTTTTTCCTCTTTTCTTTTTTTTAATTTCATGACCCAAATGTTCAGCTATCCAAGCAACAAACTTGACTGTCCACTTATTGTTGAAAGAATTTTCTTAGAAGTGAAATATGATCATGTATTTTTACCACACTGCCACACAAAACCAAAGGAATGCCACTGACAAGGTAGATTTAGCATTATCAAGAAACCCCAGTTGCACTGAAACTGCTGCCCTCCATTGCACTGAACAGACAGTCCTAAGAAAGGTATTGTTTAGAATAATAGATTGAATGTGAGCTGAAGTCTTCTTCTTTCTATGATAATGAAAAGTTATTATTCACATAATACATTCCTGATTAATAAATTTGGTAACTACATTTTTGGCCTCAGACAAATGGTGTGTGAATATGTGTTTGAAGGGGGAACAGAGTTACGCCCGTTGCAGAAAGCGGCAATGTGAAATGAAAGCCTGAAACCATTTATATTAGATAAAATATTTGTTCAGTTCCTATAACAGAGAAACCCAAAGTAAGAGTGACTTAAACAATCTAGAAATGTATTTCTCTCGCAAATAAAAGTCTGCATAGTCTGAATCTAGGGATAGTATATTGGCTTCCCAACCATTAAGAACTTTTTCTCATTGCTTTACTATCCTCAGTACATTGCTTCCAAGTCACAAATAGGAATTGCCACTCAGTTCCCATCATCTCATCTGCAATCTCACAAACTAGAAATTACAAACAGTACTTCTACTTACATTCATGTGGCCAGAATTTAGGCATTTGGTCACATCTAGCTACAGAGAGAACTGAGAATGGAATCTCTGACTGGGTGGTCATGCATCCAGCTAAAACTTCTACTGCTATATGGGAAGAAGAGAACACACACTGCAGGACAGCTAACAACCTCTGCCACATCATTCTAAAAAGTAAGTACTACACTCATTGAATTGGTATTGCTAAGACATGTCTCCATCTTATGTGCTACCAAAAAAAAAAAAAATTATATATATATATATGTTTAAATGCAGCAAAGAAACTGTGACATACCATAAATTGTAAGGTATATCTCTATTGTAGATATGGGGGTGGGGATTTTTAAATTATTCAAAAAACAGCACATATTTTATCTTCAGTTTGTTTTTACTAAAAAGTGTTTGTTCATCCTTAATTTGTTTCCACAATGAAAAGATTGAAGCCAGCTTTCTGTGCCAGGATCTTATTGTTTTTATTGCTGTTGCTGCTTCTTTCATTTTGTTTTGTTTTATATCTCTTCTCTATTGAGATACAGTTCACATTATTATTGTTGTTAAGTGTCATGATGTCACTTCTGGCTCATAGTGACCTGTATAGTGTTTTCAAGGAGGGGCTGGTGATTTTGAACCTCTGACCTTGTGGTTCAATCCAATCTTGTGGTCCATTGCTTAACCTACAGTGCCACACCAAGACTCTGTATAGTTCACATAGCAAAACCATAAAATTTACTCTTTTGAAGTATACAATTCAGTAGTTTTAATATATTCACAAAGTTATATAATCCTCACTACTATCTAATTCCAGAATAATTTCATCACCTAAGAAAGAAGCTCTGTGCCTATTGGTAGTCATTCCCTATAACCTTATCCCAAGATCTTTTATTTAATATTTATATGTGGTATGATATAGGAGATCAATTTCACTCTTTTGCATGTAGATATCCATTGTTTCAGGACCTATGTTGCTTGATTTGAATTATTTAAATTATATTCAGACACTCAACAAATATATTCAAAATACCTATAATGCACAAATAGCAATGTAATTAAAGGTTTTCTCATTACATGACTCCTACATAGTTTCTGACGAAAGAGCGTAAGAACTAAGAAGAAAATAAAATGTTACTAAGATTTCCTAATGTTGTTTTGAACCATTGTCTACTGTGTTTTGGGAAATATCATTAACTCCTCTGGGTCTGTCAGTTAGTATTCTTTTTCCTCACTCTGATTATTGACTTTCAGAATGCAACATTGATCATTTTGAAAAGAGTGGTCTTGAGTCTTACTTGTGCCTTACTGAAGCATGAGAGGGGTGGAGAGTAGGTGATTTAACTGAATGGGGTGGTAGATAGAAAAAGGGGATGAAGGTGTGAGTGTTGATAGAGAGCTTCATGAGAAAATAATTATAGCAATCATCCCTCTAAACTATTTTGCATTTGATGATTCTTACAAATCAATAAATTTAGGCATATTTTATGCAAATTTTTAAAGCATGAAAATTTTGAGTAATATTTATTTGTCTTAACAGCAAGATATTAACACACTATCAATGCCACATCTACATTCAGTGCATGCTATTCCATGGCAAAAGACATCAGCAAACTTGACCTGAATATTTGATGGATAAATCCATTATAATCATGATTTATAGAGGTATGTTTTAATCTTGTATTGATTACTACAGTATTAGTGGGTTCCTGGAATCAGCAGTCTGTTTCCTCCTCCTGAAATGCCCTTCCTATCACCACCACACAGCCACACACACACTCACACACACACACACACACTCATTCTAATTCATCTTTCATAATCCAGCACCAACAGCATCTTCTCCAGTCTTTTTTGACTTCCCCAGACATCATCATGTGCATCAAATTTATCAAAGCGTTCCATCCATACTTCTATTAGACTTATATCACTTTGCAATTATTCTCTCACTTTTTGGTCATTAAAAAATGAGTTAGTTTAAGAAGCCATAAGTTGGTGATGCTCAATATATGTAAAATCAAATGGAAATCTAACTATAGATACCTTCATTATCTTTTAATAATCCATATGAATAGAGAAATTTTTGAAACAGCACATGATAAATTTTTGTGGTGCCAAAGTTTATCTGGTATCAATGATGCATAAATAAATTATAATTTCTCTGCACTGAGTAAAGAAAGGATCATAATACTGGAAGTTTTAAATGATGACTTCCCATAGCATGATGTATTCCCCTCTCCAAAACATAGAAACGCTGTCTTCAAAAAGAATATATAAAAAGTCTATTACTTAACCAAGGTAGACATAAAGGAATAGAAATCCCTTGATGTCAGAAATGAAGAAGAATGGAAAGTCACACCTACCTGGGTATCAGATGTTGATATACAGTGAGACTTAGTAACTGGAATTTTACCATACACATACTGTCCTGGAGTTCTTAGCCTGAACAATTAAGTAAGAAAAAGTAATAAAAGATGTTCAAATGAAAAAGGAAGAAATAAAGCTATTCATTTTCCCAACTTGATCCTACATATAGAAGAGCTTAAAGAATTCACATACACACACACACATAAACACACATACAAAACCCCTGCTAAACCCTTCCCATCTGCCCATTTGTCCTACTGCAGTGGTTTGATGTTGCAGGGACACCCTTGGTGGACAGATTTCAACAGAGCTTCCAGACCAAGAATAGAGTAGAAAGGGGGTCCACTTCTGAGGGATTTGTTGTTCTTGTTAGGTGCCATAGGTCAATCTCGACTCATAGAGACCGTATGCACAACAGAAGAAACACTGCTGAGTCCTGCGCCATCCTCATAATTGCTGTTAGGCTTGAATCCATTGCTTCAGAGAAATTAGCCACTGAAAAACTTATGAATCGCAGGAGAACACTGTCTGATACAGTGCTGGAAGATGAGCCACTCAGGTTGGAAGGCATTCAAAATATGACCATGAAACAGCTGTCTCCTCAAAGCTGACTTCTTAATAACAGGAATAGAGCAAAACTTTCAGGCCCTTCTTTTACTGATGGGGCAAGTCTCAAAATGAGAAGCAGCTGCAAACATCCATTACTAATCGGAATATTAAATGTACGAAGTTTATCAATCTAAGAAAATTGCAAGTCATAAAAATCGATATCTTAGGCATTGTTGTTGTTCTTTAGTGCCATCGTGTCAGTTCTGACTCATAGCGACCCTGAATAGGATTCCCAAAGAATGGCTGATGAGTTTGAACCACCAACCTTGTGATTTAAACCTACATTATGGTCTAGTGCTTTATCCCACAGCGCTAAACCAGGACTTCACCTTAGGCATTAGTAAACTGAAATAGACAGGTATTGGTCATTTTGAATCAGATAATTATATGGTGTATTATGCCAGGAATGTTAAATTAAAGAAGAATGGCATTGCATTCATCAAAATGCAGCATCAATATGTCCTAGAAAAGAACATTTTGAATCTGTCTTGGAATACAATACTGTCTGTTATAAGATAATATCTACGTGCCTACAAGGAAGATTTTATTCAAATTTATGCACTAACCACCAAAGACAATGATGAAGAATTGAAGAATTCTACTAACTTCTTCAGTCTGAAGTTGATCAAACATGCATTCAAGTTACATTGACAACTACTGGCATGGGAAACATTGCCATGGTCATAGAAATGTAGATCGCATGATAGAGTTTGAAAAACCAATGATTTGTTCATTGTAAAT